TGCATTCCTGCAAATCTGTGCTACTGTGTTACATTTGCTTTATTCATATGTAATGTTCTCTATATGCCATATTACAGAGTGTATTCCATTACCTCTCTTCGGCATTCGTAGAGGGGGTGCTGCCGCCCCCCAAAAAAAGTGATGTAATCAGTACCTCACAAAGTTTTGTAGGAATAGTTCTATGCCAGTAGCTGGACATGAAATATTCCCACCCAAATACTTCCTCTCTTGCTGTTTTATCAGTCCCTTGTTGTTGTTTTTTTTTTTTTTTTTTTTTTTTTTTTAATTAAAATGCAGTTGCTCTCAAATGAGAAGGCAAAACACATGTCAGAACTTTGAAGACTTGTTCTGTGCATTGATACCTTCTGCCCCGTATCTAGATTGTAAGCTCCCAGGATCAGGGCCCTCCTATCCCTCTTGTATTGAACTGTATTGTTGCTGTATTGTCTCCCGTTATATTGTAAATCGCTGAGCAAACTGTTGGAGCGATATAAATCCTGTATAATAATGATAATCTAAAAGTAGGGGAGATATGGACAGCCTATGACCACTGCGCTGTGCAGCCAGCAGAGATGAAGCCAAGAGGTCATACAGAATCCCAGGTCCTGCTGTGATACCCACATAGCAACCTACTAAGAGAGCCAAAAGAAACGCAGGTTTGCAAGGTTGCACAATTTCTGACTTGCAATCACTGCATGCTCGCATTAAAAATATAAACTTTAGAAATGCTTTAAATACATTTTCATTAGTAGGCACCATCTTTATCGATTTAGAAAATATATGCTAAGCATAGAGTTCAGCCTTGTCTGGCTACGGTGTACAGCGTGTTGCGAAATAATTTGTTTTAAATTTTTATTTATTTTGAAGCTTCATTTTTTTCATAATTTTGTATTTGTCTCTTTGCACACTAGATTAGTTAAAGTGAAATATGACATTGGCTTCAATTTGGAAATGGGTTACTTCCCCGCTTTGTTGTTAATGAAATGTGTCCACTGGCACATTGATCATTTCGGAGGAAAGGATTATGTGATTGTGCAAGTCGGCTCAGGGACAAAATGTGGTTGGTATGGTCAGGATTTGGCATACACCACACAGTTATCTTCCTGCCTTGTGTCAACAGTTTAAACTGGTGGTATAAAAATGAAAATATATCCACTAACCACCTCTGTTCAGTGTTCGACTTTCACTTAAAGAGACTGCAGCAACCCAATACCTGAATACACAATATCAAGAAGATCTACTAAAAAAGCTGCGTTGTCACCCTAAAAATATGTACCTGTATCAAAATCAATTTAAACATGCACAAATCAGATCAAACGCATGTGCAAATAAAATTCATTCTAAATATTTTCATAAGTCGAATGAACGTGCAATGAAATTTATATAGGATGTAACATATAAATAAAGTGAATCGTGCAAAAAAAATGTGTGTGTGTGTGTATGTGTATGTATGTATATATATATATATATATATACACACACATACACATACACATAATCCTCATAAATCCTCAATCCTCATAAATTACTCCAGTGCAAGAACTCGTATTTAATAAATTCAATTAATAATAAATATTTATGAAATTTTTGTTTTTGATACGAGTTTTTGCACTGATGTAGTAATTTGAGTTTTGTATTTGTGTGTTTGAGTTTTTCACATGATTAATTTTTATTTTTATGTTACAGTTGTTTTAAAGACATAAAAGAAAATATCCAATTTAAGGGGAGGGTGAGGAGGGGCATGAAGAGTAGGTTGAAGGTCTGCTTTAATACACCTTTACAAAAGACAAGAGGTTGTGTAATTATTATTATTGTTATACAGGATTTATATTGCGCCAACAGTTTGCTCAGTGCTGTACATTATAATGGGAGACAGTACACGAGCAAGGGCGGACTGACCATTTGGAAACTTGGGCACCGCCCGAGGGCCCGGGGTCAGTAGGGTGCCCCATGAGATGCCCCTCGTACCTTTTTCATAGGCTTTTTTGAGTTTGGGCAAGGACACGGGCTCCATGATCCCCTATTGCCCGGGGGCCCCATGAGTTGTCAGTCTGCCCCTGTACACAAGACAGCACAGTAACAATACAATACACGAGGGGTTTGAGGGCCCTGCTCCTTAGAGCTTACAATCTAGGATGGAGGGGAGAGTGGTACAGGAGAAAATAGCTGTGTGGGATGGAGTGGTAGGAAGAGTGGAGGAGATCGGCAATTAGGTGAGGGCGGGGTAGGCTTCTCTGAAGAGGTAGGTTTTCAGGGTGAGCCTAAAGGTGAGGAGGGTAGGTGACAGTCTGATGGATTGGGGTAGTGAGTTCCAGAGGATGGGGGAAGCCCTGGAGACGGGCATGGGAGGAGGAGACCAAGGAACTAGAGAGTAGGAGGTCTTGTGAGGAGCGGAGAGTGCGTTTAGGGTGGTATTTGGATATTAGGTCGGTGATGTAGTTTGGGGCAGCGTTATGAACAGCTTTGTACGTCAGTGTTAGCAATTTGAATTGCGTTGGACAGTCGGAAGCCAGTGGAGGGGGGTGGCGGATACGGGGCGGTTGGTAAGGTGGATGAGTCTGGCTGCAGAATTCAGGATAGACTGAAGAGGGGATAGCCTGTGGTCAGGTAGGTCGGTGAGGAGGGAGTTACAGTAGTCAAGTCGTGATATATTAATGGGAGTGAATGAGTTGCTTAGTGTAATTTTCACTCTTTTTACCATATTCTAGATTGATGGATCTTTGCAGCCACGGCTTTGTACCTTTTTTTTTTTTTTTTTTTTTTTTTTTTTTTGAATGTTCTGATTTTTGTTTATTTGTAAAGCTCATTAAAAATGCGCAGTTAACAAATGATGTTGTAGAATAATTGCGAATCGCAGTTTATCAATCAGGGCAGTGTGTTTTTTGCCATTAGTTTGTTCTCTTGTTAGTATGATTGATGGAGTTGTGTGACTGAGCCTGGCTGTTCCTTGCAGAGCTCTGTATGGGGGAATCTGCTATCACACACTTGTTTAATGTTCACTTCTTGGCAGCACTTCCCGTCCACCTGATGTGTGAAAAGGAAAATCTCTGTGTAAAGGAGATTTGGCAGAGACTCGATCCAACTGTTACTGGGATGAATCCTGACTTTATCTCTGTGGTTCTAAAAGTCATGCTTTGTAGAATATTTATGAAGGTTTGCATGTAATGCGGCTTTGTAGTTTTATTGCTAAGCTGTACTGTATGAATAAAGTGCTCCTCCTGCCCGTTAAGTATGTAGCAGAGAAGGTTTTGATCTTACCAGTTTATCAAAGTCCATGCTTTATTTTCCCAATGCAGCTTGGCGAATGAAAGCTGACCCCCCACACTCAGATGTGTTGAGCCCAGGGCTTTGCCTTTTTTAATTCCTTGGCTGGCCAGAGATATTAGAGGATATTCAGTTATGCAAACAGGATCTGGCCTCCCTTCAGGCACTCAGTTGGCTGTGTAGGGTAAAGCAACAGGTTTGCTTAAAGAGGATCTGTATTGTGGAAGCTGTGGCCAAAAAAATCAAAGCAGAAGGCAAATAATTAGTCAACAGTGTTGCTTATTGGCGTCTTGCTGCACTTCATCTTTTCCCCATTGTCTTGCTCCACATTTTGTTGTAGGTAAGGCTTTGCAACCTCATGTCAGATCTGCCGCCCTGATGACTGGTGGGGTAATACAGTATATATTTTATATTGCCAAAAGTATTGGGACACTTGCCTTTCCATGAACTTTAATGGCATCCCAGTCTTAGTCCGTAGGGTTCAGTATTGAGTTGGCCCCACCCTTTGCAGCCTTAACAGCTTCAACTCTTCTGGGAAGGCCGTCCACAAGGTTTAGGAGGGTGTCTATGGCAGTGTTTGACCATTCTTCCAGAAGCACATTTGTGAGGTCATGCATTTATATTGGACGAGAAGGCCTGGCTCAGTCTCCGCTCTAATTCATCCCAAAGGTGTTCTATCAGGTTGAGGTCAGGACTCTGTGCAGGTCAGTCAAGTTCCTCCACCCCAAACTCACTCATCCATGTCTTTATGGACCTTGCTTTGTGCACTGGTGTGCAGTCATGTTGGAACAGGAAGGGGCCATCCCCAAACTCTTCCCACAAAGTTGGGAGCATGAAATTGTCCAAAATGTCTTGGTATGCTGACACCTTAAATGTTCCCTTCACTGGAACTAAGGGGCCAAGCTCAACCCCTGAAAAACAACCCCACACCATAATCCCCCCTCCACCAAACTTTACACTTGGCACAATGCATTGAGGTACTGTTCTCTTGGCAACCACCAAACCCAAACACGTCCATCGGATTGCCAGACAAAGAAGCGTGATTGGTCACTCCAGAGAAAATATCTCCACCGCTGTAGAGTCCAGTGGCGGCATGCTTTACACGACGGCATCCGACGCTTTGCATTGCACTTGGTGATGTAAGGCTTGGATGCAGCTGCTCGGCCATGGAAACCCATTCCATGAAGCTCTCTACACTCTACTGTTGTGCTGTTCTGATGGTCACAGGAAGTTTGGAGGTCTTTAGCTATTTACTCTGTAGACAGCGACGCATGCGCTGACCACCTGCCCCTCTGTCATTTTACTTGGCCTACCACTTCGTGACTGAGTTGCTGTTGTTTCCAGTTGCTTCCACTTTGTTCTAATACCACTAACAGTTGACCGTGGAATATTTGGTAACAAGGAAATGTCAGATGGATTTATTGCACAGGTGGTAACCTATCACAGTACCACGCTTGAATTCACTGAGCTCCTGAGAGCGACCCATTCTTTCACAAATGTTTGTAGAAGCAATCTGCATGCCTGGGGGCTTGATTTTTATACAGCTGTGGCCATGGAGGTGATTGAAACACCTAAATCTAATGATTTGGAGGGGCGGGCCCAATACTTTTGGCAATATAGTGTAGTGCAGATGGAGAGGTAGGGGAACCACACAAAACTCCTTTTTAAAATGTAAAAAACAAAAAAACACTTGTGTTCATATTATCCAGGTATGACGTAGTTTTCCTTCTTTTCAGGGTTCACCCCATCACTAGCTGTTCAACCACAGACCTCTGGTGGCCTTAATGTTGACTTTGATTCTGTTTTTGGCAACAAGTCTCCCTCTAACATCAGTGTAGACTCCACGGGTAAGGAAAAAAATTATCTTTTCTGTTCTGCATAATATTAGTAACAGTTGTAATGTTTTGCCATGGGATGATTTTAACATTTAATTTTTTTAAGTGGTGTTAAACCCAAAAGCAAACCTTTATTATAATGCAGCTTACCAATTTTTATTATTATTATTACAGGTACATATATAGCGCCGTCAATTATCGCAGCGCTTTACATATATATTGTACGTTCACATCAGTCCCTGACCCTCAAGGGGCGTACAATCTAAGGTTTTTATATGTGGTGACTGCATTTGTTTTCTTTTTAGATCTTCTTTACTTTATTTTCATTGGGTGATCTGGCCAGTAAATCTGGTATTTTTCAACAAAAAGGAACAAGCTCTCCTGCAGATGTAGTAGTTGGAGGGTTGAGAAAACCATTTACCACTGACAGGGGTGCTTAGAATGGTCCGCTTTTATTTATGTAAAACCTTTATCCCATAAGGAGAAAAAAAAAATGTTGCTTAAAAGGTGTGAGCTGGAGTTTGGCTGTAATTTGTTAGCGTATCTAAATCTGCTAGTATGTCTACCACTCCCCTTCCCCCAGATTAACAATGCTGCTGTACAATGGTGTCTTTGTTGGCCCTCCATCTAGATTGCGTGCACTCTAGGACCGGATGTATGCTACTGGCCAGCTCACCAGTTACAGAGGGGGCCACTTTAGGTTTAAAGGGTATGTCCAGCCAAAACTGTTTTCTTAGTTTTAGATAAGGTGAGCAAGGATCATATACCCAGTCAGGTTTTTCCTGCTATCTCGGACACCCTTAGAGAAATTTATCTTTGCTTCCTGTCCTGCTGATCATTTTACCAGACAGGAAGTGAGCGGAATTCTCTTCAGCAACACAGATAGAAATGACCACCTGCCAACCGTCTAAGTGGGGACATACGTCATGTTTTGATGTTTAATACTGGGGTTATGGCTGCAGCTAGATGCCATAACCCCAGTATTCATTTTTCCCTCAGGAACCAGTCTTTCTGCTAAAAGTGATCCCGAGTGGTGGATTTGATGCTGGATCACTTTTAGAAGCAGCGAAGGGGTTGGCCCCGACGTTTTCCAGTGTTTCCCAGTCTTACCTGGCTGATCGGAAGCTCTGGGAACCGATCCGGCGCTGGCAGCAGTTGGTGACAGAGATAAGCGAAGGAAAGATGGCTTTCACTTGTGGCGGAACCGTTCCGCCTGGGCTTCATCGTGCGGAGCAGTGTGTCTCAGCCAATGGGCCCCTTTTCCAGCAAGACTTCCAGTGCTCTGCCAAGGCAAGTGATATAGCTCAAAACACTCCTTTCCCTGCTCTCCCAAACCACGAGTCGGAACTTCGTGTAGGGTGAAAATGAGCGACTCTTTATTAAACACAGCTCAGTATATACAGCACATCCTGGCAGTAATCCCTGCCACCTTCAGTCCCACCAGACAGCCTGGCACCGGGTTTTCCCCACCCACAACAAAACCCTACAACCAACAATACAGTATGAACTCTATTAGACTACAAGGTCACATTTCCCTAAACAGTGTAGATTGTCTGTGAAACATATACAGCTTTACAAAGGGGAGAAAGCTGGAACAGAAAGGGCAAAATGTTATCACACAGGGACAGTTCCTCACACCACTCATCTCTATGGCCTAGGAGGACCGGAGTGACGTCATGACGTCACTTCCGGTTCTGGCCACATGTAAACAAGGCCAATGGCTCCCACTGCTGTCTCAACCAATGAGAAGCGAGAGTCCGAGGAGAGTTGTTGCTCTCATGCACATCACTGGATTGAGTGAGAGGGAGCTCAGGTAAGTATGGGGGGGGGGGGGTGCTGCACACACACAAGGATTTTTACCTTAGAATGCATGAAGGTAAAAAAACCTTATGCCTTTACAACCGCTTTAAACTCTGCGTGACTAAAATCTTGATATGCCGCAATATATAGAAACCATATCTTTTTTCAGAAAAGCGTCTTTGATGTAGAGGAGCCAACATTGAGCTCTAGTACGTGACTTTTTTCCGAGACTGAGATTTCATCATTCTGCTGCATGCAGGAGGAAGCATTTCCTCAGTCTTTTCTCTCCCCGCCGGGTTAAGACATTGTAACAAGGCAAAAGGCAAGACGCTGCGGCAGAGGCTGTTTGTAGCAGACATTTGGGAACATTACCTAGAACCGCACAGGCACCAGGATTTGCATGACTTTGTCATCACTGAGCAGGCATATCTGTCCAGGAGGCAGGAGCTGACCTCGGATGATGCCTGAAGATGGCTCCATCCTTCTGGGGCACAAAGCTGATGAGGGCATTTTCAGGGGAATACGTTCAGTGTTACCCTTAAACATTACTTATTATAATGCACTTTCTATAATAGAGAGGCTTTTCTGGCTAGTAGAGGTAATAGCCGGCATCTTGTAGTGTAAGCTCTCACTCTGGATCACTCTTTTAAATGTCTAGAAGTTCACTTATATTGGGTTGTGATTTAAAGTATTATTTATTTTAGGTACTTATATAGTGCTGTCAATTTACTCAGCGCTTTACATATATATTGTACATTCACATCAGTCCCTAACCCTCAAGGGGTGTACAATCTAAGGTCCCTAACTTACATTCATACATACACATACTAGGGACAATTTATACAGGAGCCAGTTAACCTACCAGCATGTCTTTGGAGTACCCGGAGGAAACCCACGCAGGCACAGGGAGAACATGCAAACTCCAGGCAGGTATTGCCGTGGTTGGGATTTGAACCAGTACTGCCAGGCTGAAGTGCTAACCATTAAGCCACTGTGCTGCCCGTAGATTTTTCTTTTCAGACACTGCGACTAATGAAACCAGTAATGTGCATCTCTTTGTTGAATGGGGTTCTGTATCATTATTCAATCCAGGTTCTTCCATTTTGTTTCAAGGTTTCGACGACTTGGGTGGACTTCTCAAGCCAACAGTAGCTTCACAAAACACAAATGCTCCCTGCTCCAGAAACCCTCCATCCAAGCTGGTGTCTGATGACTTGGACTCCTCTCTGGCTAACTTAGTGGGCAGTAAGTTTGGGCCTTACTCTTTTATTCTGCTGTAGAGTCACAGCATTGAAGACTCTGCTCATTCACTTGTTTTTATTTTTCTTCCCAAGATCTGGGCATCGGGAACGGAACAGCAAAGAAGTAAGTGTGAAAACTGACTGTCAATGCCATTCAGATACATTAAGGGATATGTCCGTTCAAGCAAATGAATATTTGACATGGTTGCATTGTAGAGTATTATTAGCTATGTGCATGGGTCTGTTTTCAGTGGTTTGACAAAGATTAAATCGGTAATAAATGCTCTAGTTTTTTTAACCACTTCCAGTCCGGACACTTTTTCACCCCCCTTCCTGTCCAGGCCAATTTTCAGCTTTCAGCGCTATCACACTAAGAATGACAATTGCGCGGTCATGCAACACTGTACCCCTATGAATTTTTTTGCATTTTTTTTTAGACAGATAAAGCTTTATTTTGGTGGTATTTATTCCCCACTGGGATTTTTTTTTCTTTTTTTTTGCTATATAAATGAAAAAGTCCACAAATTTTGAAAATAGTGTTTGTCTTATAAAATTTTGCAAATAATATTTCATCATAAATCTTGGCCAAAATGTATTCAGTTATCTTTGTAGTAAAAAACAAAATAACCCAAATTAGATTATAACCAAAAATTATTTTTTAAAAACATTTTTCTATTTTTTATATATATATTTTTTTTTAACATACTGTCACCCTAGCAGTACAGTGTCACCATGGCGACACTGTACTACTTGTGGGGGTGAGGAAGATTTTTTTTATTTTTTTTTTTTACACCGATAAAGGCTATAAAAGCAATCATTTCTCCTTCTTCTCTCTGGCTGCATACTTGCAGCCATTTATAAATGTGTGAGCTGTGATTGGTCACAGCATGTCACATGGTACAAGGCTGTTGTGAATAGCCTTGTATCATGTGATCTCTGTGATCGTTCAGAGATTTCACTCGTAATAAGCAATGATTGGCCAATCAGTGATCACATGATCAGGACCTCACACAGAGTGTCCCGTATGATGATCGGTGTTCCACTGTGTCCAGAGGACACAGCTTGCACCGGATCGCGGTCGCGCAGAGTCCGAAATGGCGGGCGCCGTTTATGAACGGCAACCTGTCCCTGCACTGCCACCATCTGGCCGTTTATATACAGCGGCCAGATGGCAAGTGGTTAAATGAATGCATGTTTAGCAACCCGGTAAAATAATTATAGTCCATAATTTTCTTGATAAGTGGCCATAAAATACAGTAGTTACAGGTCGTACGGTGCCGCTTCCACAGACTTGCAATGTAGTAAATGCAATAACAAGCACCTGCTCACAGTCTACTATTGAATGCACACTGTGGAGGAGTGCTTGTTCTGCTTACATCACATGCTTAGTGTATTTGAAAGCAGCTGGAAATTTTCTGTTCCTATCACTTTCTGAGGGAGAAGAAATGGCTTGCTTACGGCTGGGGCCATGTGTTTTTGTGGACATGAGAGGATTCACCTATAGTGCCAGCCGGGAAAACATGCGCATTGGTGGTTCCATGGTACCCCGTAAAAGGGATGTGAAAACCGTAACCAGGGAAGGGAGGTTTTTGAAAGATCTAATGCAAAGTAACCGCGGGTTTTAAAAGCAAACTGGAAACGCTATATAAATTTCACAGCTACTAAAATAGCACAGTCACCTTGCGGAGGAAAGTTTGTGGACTGGCAAGACCCCTACTTGTTTAACCACCTCTTGTCCGGCCGTTGTATATGAACGGCCGGACGGTGGCAGGGTTGGGTCGCTCCCTGGGAGCGCGCAGCACCGTGATCCGGTGCCCGCTGTGTCCCCCGGACACAGTGTAACACCGATCGTCGGATGGGACCTCTCTGCGAGAGTCCAATCAGTGATCACATGCAAAGTAGTAAGAATTTTGACATCATTGCTTACTACATGTGAAATCTGTGAATGATCAGAGGTCACATGGTACAAGGCTATTCACAACAGCCTTCTACCATGTGATAAGCTGTGACCAATCACAGCTCACACAGTAGTTTTCAATGGCTGCAAGAAGGAGAAATTATTGCTTTTACAGCCTTTATGGCTGTAAAAGCAGTCAATGTAAAAAACAACAATAAAATCTTCATCACCCCCCACACGTAGTACAGTGTCACCATGGTACAGTGACACTGTACTGCTAGGGTGACAAGTATGTAAAAAAAAAAAAAACCATAAATATAAAAAAAATGTTTAAAAATTATAATATTTTGTTAAACTAATTTGGTTTTTTTTTTTACTAAAAAGATAACGGAATACATTTTGGCCAAGATTTATGATGACATACTATTTATTTGCAAAAATTTTATAAGAAAAAATACTTTTCATAATTTTTGGACTTTTTCATTTACATAGCAAAAAAAAAAATCCAAGTAGTGAATAAATACCACCAAAATAAAGCTTTATCTGTCTCAAACAAATGCTAAAAAATTCATATGGGTACAGTGTTGCATGACCGCGCAATTGTCATTCAAAGTGTGATAGCACTGAAAGCTGAAAATTGGCCTGGACAGGAAGGGGGTAAAAGTGTCCGGACTGGAAGTGGTTAAATTTCACTTTTCTTTTCCCATAAAATTGCCCATGCAGCAGTAGGTTAACATCCAGTGGCTGAGCTCAGAGTTTGTGGAATGGGGGGGGGGGGGGGAAGAAAGAGCACACTGTGTGTTACTTTCAGTAAAGAAACATGCTGGCAAGGACTTGTGATGTAAAAAGAATAGGAGGATTTCGGTTGGGCTTCGTGATTGGCTAGAGCATGCCTACAGGCGTGGCTCTTACACTAAACAATAGTTTCAAAAACGGCATAAGGCCTTTTCACCTCCTGGAGCCTCTTGTCTGCATTGGCCAATTTTGTAAATGGCAATCTTGACATCTAATATAAGAGTGAACTGAGAAAATTATAGCTGGATATTGTACTAATAATTAATATTATTATACAGTGTTTATATAGCGCCAAAAAGTTTGCTCAGCGCTGTACATTTTAGTAGGGGACAGAACATGAGGCAATACATTACACGAGGGGTTCGAGGGCCCTGCTCTTTGGAGCTTGCAATCTAGGAGATAATGAAACTTTTACATATTTTTCTAGTTTGTCTAGACTGACACTTGATAAACTTTATTATCTACTTTTCCCAGACAGAAATGCAATAACACAGAAAGGAATATTGTTTTTCTGGAATTATTACAAGGTGTTTTTTGTTTTTTTTTGGGGTTTTTTTTGCAGTGATGTTCATTGGAGTCAGCCTGGAGAAAAGAAATTAACAGGAGGGAGTAATTGGCAGCCAAAAGTGGCCCCCACCACTACCTGGAACCCAGCCACCTTGGTAATGATCCTTTTGTGTAATGACTGTGTACGGGTGTGTGTGGATATTGCATGCTTTGTTTTATAGTTACCGCATGCTTTACAAGATTAAATGGCAGCTCCAGCCAAGCAGTTAAAGTTCATCTGAAGTCTTAAATGTAATTGCGGCATGATTAGTGTGTTACAATATGAAATTGCTTATCAGACCATTGGAGCGAGGTTACTACTCTCACAGAGCGATGGTCATTGTTGGTTACTGGCCAGGAACTCACCCTATTAGTGCCAGTACAGTGTCTGCATAAAGGTGCCATAGTTGGGACTTTAAAAAGTTTCATTTTGCTGCACCTCTAAATTTTGGGTGCAGTTTTGTTTTAGGATTTGTTTATTTATTACAGGTAGTCAGTTTGCACAGCGCTTTACATATATATTGTACATTCACATCAGTCCCTAACCCTCAAGGGGTGTACAATCTAAGGTCCCTAACTCACATTCATACATACACATACTAGGGACAATTTAGACAGGAGCCAATTAACCTACCAGCATGTCTTTGCAGTGTGGGAGGAAACCAGAGTACCCTGAGGAAACCCACGCAGGGGGGGTGGTTGTCAGGATAAGTCTGATCATTGGAGGTGAGCAGGGTGATTCCCAGCATAGCTAGAGAATTGACCAGTGCAGGGGTGGACTGACAACTTATGGGGCCCCTGGGCAATAGGGGATCATGGGGCCCCTGTGTCCTTGCCCAAACTCAAAAAAGCCTATGAAAAAGGTACCAGGGGCATCTCATGGGGCCCCCTACTGACCTCAGGCAGTGCCCAAGTTTCCAAATGGTCAGTCCGCCCCTGGACCAGTGTGTTCTCCTGCTTAGTGTGGTCAGTTTTCAATAGGAATGCAGAGAAACTGACAGGAACACCTTTCACACAAAGGAAGCAATACAAAAAGAACAGTACATGGTACAGCAGACACATATCAGGAATATAAAACGTTGGGTTTGCATAACCTTAAAATTGGAAAATTGGAAGAGAAGCCTAACTAGAACTCTTAATATTACCCCCCCCCCCCCCCCCAACCTACCTTTTCTGCCTATTTGTATACAAAAGATCTGTTTTTAATCCAGTCCAGTTACGTGATCCTACAGCTCCAGCTCCCCTGTGTTTGGTAGCGCTCAACAATGGAAAATTCCCAGAGCAGTAACATCACCCACAGGCTGTCATGGATCAGCAGTTGTCTGCACTCCATCCTCTCCCTTGCAGCAGCCACTCACTGACCCAGGAGAGCTGGAGCCACAGCATTGTGTCGTCATGCCGGAATGGACCCGATTTTAAATGGGCACACCTTTTTGGGTTTTTTTTAGGCAGGATCAATAGGAGAAGGGAACGTTTTTAAGAATAGTCATAGTTTGGCTTTCCTTCCATTTCAATGCACATGGTCGGTGTGTATACAGGAGCTGCCTTTTCAAAGATTACTGCTGTGCTCTATGGATGCATAGCATGTGAAAGATGATATATTGTTTGGAACTTGCAGCTCTGCAGTCTCTTTGCTCCTTTCCTGTTTTTGGGACTAATGTTGAACATTACCATATTGCCCTCTCCATAATGTAAGCTCACCTAAATACCTCCCTCTAAGACCTGTCTTGTTATAGAGCAGCCGACACCCAATGCCAGCCTGACCTCTGAAATCCATAAAATGTGGTAAAACCGATATGCAAATTGCAGCTTTTAAGAATTTAGATGGAAATGCGAATCACAGGAGGTTTTCAAGTCTGCCTTCGAGATTTTTGAAGAACCTTACCATTAAAAGGACATATTTTAATTCCTGCCAGCCTGTATGGACAAGCTCCCAGGACTTGCAGCTCAATTCCACCTACCACTGTGAATTTGATTTGTTATAGCTCATCTTCAGGCAAATGATTAAATACACAGATGCATATGTGAGAGCTGTTTTACCTGCCAAAGATTCGTTTTTTTTTTTTTTTCTCCATTAAGTCCTGATGCAGGCCATAGATGGGTTGAAAACCGGCCGTTTTTTTAAAAAAAAAAAAAAACAAAAAATCGGTCGTTCAATAGGCCGACGTTACCACCAACGGTAAAAAAAATCGGCTGATTTTCGTCCCGTCTATGGCCGGCATTTTTAATTTTATCCCTGCAGAGAGCTCCGATATTATATTTGACATTAAAAATTATAACAAAGTTGCAACATTGTATCTATTTCAGGCATGTCCAAAGTCCGGCCCGCGGGCCATTTACGGCCCGGGGGTTGGTTTAATACGGCCCTCCAACAGCCCTCCCTGCTCTGTGTAATGTGGCCCTCCCACGGCCCTCCCTTCTATGGCAGACAGTCTTCTGCTTGAGAGCAGAGGGCAGTGCGCATGCCTGACTGCGGCGCGTTCTCCCTGGTCTGTGTAAATGCGGCTGTCGCACGGCCCTCCCTTCTGTGGCAGACTGTCTTCTGCTTGAGAGCAGTGCGCATGCGTGACTGCGCCGCGCTGGGAGCGACAGCGGGCGGTGACGTCAGGGCCGGGCTTCCAGCGTGAAGTGTGTTTCTCTTCCCCTCCCGGCTGCCAAGCAGAGACTTCAGCTCCAGCTACCTTTTTCACCCTTCACATTAGTGCAGGCAAGTTTTTTTTTAAATTTATTTTCAATACATTGTGAAAACTCAGCTGTCAGTTGATCTTAATATTATGAAATGAAAAGTATGTCGTTTGCAATTAACTTGGCATAAAATAATTTATTTGCATTTAATTGTAATGGTTCAAAGAATGTTCGGAAAAATGTTCGGCCCTCCACCATGTTCACTTCATCCAATCTGGCCCTCTTTGAAAAAAGTTTGGACACCCCTGATCTATTTGTATCCATTTCAGATACAGATGTTTTTATTCAAATACAAATAGATACATTGTTGCAACCTCAATACTTTTTCATGTCAAATATAATAGCGGTCTGGAATTCTTCTTCTTTCTTCCTTCCTTCTATTTCTTCTTCCTCCTTCTTCTTCTTCCTTTTCTTCTTTCTTCCTTCCTTCCCTTTCCTTCCCTTTCCTTCCTTCCTTCCCTTCCTTTCCTTCCTTCCCTTCCTTCCTTCCCTTCCTTTCCCTTCCTTCCTTCCTTTCCTTCCTTTCCTTTTCCTTTTCCTTCCTTTTCCTTTCCTTCCTTCCTTTTCCTTTTCCTTTCTTTCCTTCTTTCTCCTTTCTTCCCCCCGATTTGCCCATCATTGCCGTGAAAATTTTTTTTTCAACTTTACCTATAAAAAAAAGTGTCAATCCAGAAAACCGGCCGACCAATTAACCTATTAACGGTGCGAAAATCAGCCGACTTTTGACCCATCTATGGCCTACATTAGTTTTACACAGCTCAGCTTTGTCTGTCAGGGCAAAAGGGCTTTTTTTTCTTTCCTGTGGCAGTTAAGTAACACTTAACTATGCCATGCCATTCAGAGTGTTTTCAGGAGATGTCTGATATCAGCTGTCAGTGTCCTTTAACCACTTTATCCTTTGAGAGGTTATACCATAATGATTCCTTCAGCAACAGGCATCATCTCCGTATTGTTTACAGCCAGCGGTGCATTTTTTTTTTTTGTAAATACGATCCTAGTTTCTAATTAGCCATTTGATCGCTTCTAAAGCTGCAGAAAGGATTTCCCCCTCCTGCCGGGGAGCCCAGGATTACAGCCAGTGTTCCTGCCGGCTGACCATAGGGACTATAGAAGACTGAAACGCACCCGTTTACTTCTGTGGTCTAAGGAACTGAAGCTTTGCCAATGGATAATTTATTTTATGTAGTTTGTTGCCGTTCCACGGGTGTGCGCAATTTTAAAGCGTTACATGTTTGGTATCTCTTTACTCGGTGTGATTTTATGTTTTATATTTTACCAAACAATAGGGTATTGTTTCTGTGCACTAAAATTCATTAGTTTTTTTTTTTTTTTTAATTGCGTAAATACTGCATTGCATAAATAAATTGCAACTTTTTTTTTTTTCTCTAGGGCCTCTGCTTAAGATATTTAATGTTAGGAGTTTTAAATAATTTTCTTGCAAAAAAAAAAAATACTGCTTTTTTAAATATAAACCGTTTCAAAATAGGCCTGGTCTTCAAGTGGTTAAAAAAAAAAAATGCCAGCAGTTTGGTCACCCTGCTACTTTCAGCAGCAGGATTGGTCCTCACACCTTCCTTTGCCTTTTTGGGGGAATGTATGGAGAAGCGTATACGTTAATACACTATAATTGCCAAATGTGGACACGCCCCCAAATGATTGAATTAGGATGTTTCCAGTAAAGGGTTCTGTGACTAAAACAGCATACAAAGATCAGCTGTGTTCAACCTTGTAACTGCTTGGGGACGTTCCTTTTCTTTTCCAGCATGACTGTACCCCTGTGCGCAGAGCCAGCTCCAACTAAAGACATGGTTCAATGAGTTTGTGGCCTGCACAGAGCCCTGAGCTCAACTCCTCTGGACAGCTGATTTGCAAGACCTACAGTCAGGTCCATAAATATTGGGACATCGACAAAATTCTAACATTTTTGGCTCTATACACCACCACAATGGATTTGAAATGAAACGAACAAGATGTGCTTTAACTGCAGACGGTCAGCTTTAATTTGAGGGTATTTACATACAAATCAGGTGAACGGTGTAGAAATTACAACAGTTTGCATATGTGCCTCCCACTTGTTAAGTGACCAAAAGCAATGGGACAATTGGCTTCTCAGCTGTTCCATGGCCAGGTGTGTGTTATTCCCTCATTATCCCAATTACAATGAGCAGATAAAAGGTCCAGAGTTCATTTCAAGTGTGCTATTTGCATTTGGAATCTGTTGCTGTCAACTCTCAAGATGAGATCCAAAGAGCTGTCACTATCAGTGAAGCAAGCCATCATTAGGCTGAAAAAACAAAACAAACCCATCGGAGCAAAAACATTAGGCGTGGCCAAAAACAACTGTTTGGAACATTCTTAAAAAGAGGGAACGCACCGGTGAGCTCAGCAACACCAAAAGACCCGGAAGACCACAGAAAACTGTTGTGGATGACCAAAGAATTCTTTCCCTGGTGAAGAAAACACCCTTCACAACAGTTGGCCAGATCAAGAACACTCTCCAGGAGGTAGGTGTATGTGTGTCAAAGTCAACAATCAAGAGAAGACTTCACCAGAGTGAATACAGAGGGTTCACCACAAGATGTAAACCATTGGTGAGCCTCAAAAACAGGAAGGCCAAATTAGAGTTTGCCAAACGACATCTAAAAAAGCCTTCACAGTTCTGGAACAACATCCTATGGACAGATGACACCAATATCAACTTGTACCAGACTGATGGGAAGAGAAGAGTATGGAGAAGGAAAGGAACTGCTCATGATGCTAAGCAGACCACTGAAAGGAATTGACTCCCGTTCCTTTCGAGCCACTTACCCCCGTCAGTCCCTGGCCTTGATCAGTGTCTGTCCTCAGGCCTGGAGCCCCCTCTGAGACACAGGAAATGCACACAGACACAAGGTGGTATCTCAGAAGGAACTAAATGTATTCTTCCGTGTTTAAACTTATATATGAAACTTAAAACAATGCATGGAAATAGAAGAACCAATCAATTGTCAGGTATGCATAAACCAATCAGAATATTACATACGTCAGTCATGCCCAATCATTTGGCATTTATGTAAATTATTATTAAGTGCGTAAAGCATGAACTTTTGTTCAGTATAGAAAGCAGACAATTTCCCTATTTAACATTGGCTATATTTATTAATAACCTTGCAACAGGATATATCCAACCGCAGACTTTCAGTCTTGTGCTAGCTAAAGGAAAAAGGGGAAGTTACACCTGAAGGAAAAAGAGGAACTTTAACTCCTGACAAGAATACAGTTTAAGACAAAAAAATCAATCCTTTTAAAATACTGACTTAAGTCTTAAGATGGATACTGATTCTAAGATGGAGGAGCTTTGGCTCACAGAGACAAGATGGCGGGACATCAAACTTAAGGGCTAATCCCTTCAACCACCTCATCAGTTAAGCATGGTGGTGGTAGTGTCATGGCGTGGGCATGTATGGCTGCCAATGGAACTGGTTCTCTTGTATTTATTGATGATGTGACTGCTGACAAAAGCAGCAGGATGAATTCTGAAGTGTTTCGGGAATATTATCTGCTCATATTCAGCCAAATGCTTCAGAACTCATTGGACGCCACTTCACAGTGCAGATGGACAATGACCCAAAGCATACTGCAAAAGCAAACAAAGAGTTTTTTAAGGGAAAGAAGTGGAATGTTATGCAATGGCCAAGTCAATCACCTGACCTGAATCCGATTGATCATGCATTTCACTTGCTGAAGACAAAACTGAAGGGAAAATGTCCCAAGAACAAGCAGGAACTGAAGACAGTTGCAGTAGAGGCCTGGCAGAGCATCACCAGGGATGAAACCCAGTGTCTGGTGATGTCTATGCGTTCCAGACTTCAGGCTGTAATTGACTGCAAAGGATTTGCAACCAAGTATTAAAAAGTGAAAGTTTGATTTATGATTATTATTCTGTCCCATTACTTTTGGTCCCTTAACAAGTGGGAGGCACATATGCAAACTGTTGTAATTCCTACACCGTTCACCTGATTTGGATGTAAATACCCTCAAATTAAAGCTGACAGTCTGCAGTTAAAGCACATCTTGTTTGTTTCATTTCAAATCCATTGTGGTGGTGTATAGAGCCAAAAATGTTAGAATTTTGTCGATGTCCCAATATTTATGGACCTGACTGTATATATTCCTGATCTGATATATAGATATTATCTAAATGAAATGCACCCAGTCTAATTGTGTGCTTGTGTATTGTTGTGTAAGTTTGTGTTCTAATCTTGTGTTATTGCATTGTATCACTGTTCGTCCTGATGAACATTGAAACAGAATGGCATGCATTTTCAACCATACGTAAGTTGAACCAAACAAACCAAAAACTGCCTTCCTTGCTGTGAATTGGTATGCTTTTATATTAACCTTCGCTGTAGCGCAGGCACCTCACACTAATCAGATTTTGATTGTGTGTTTAGAGATTTGATTCCTCCCCACTGCACCTTCCTGGCTCTCCTTACATCCTACCTTCACTAATGGCATGGAGTGTTGGCACATGGTTACTTTCGCTTACTCAGCTACACTCTCCCTCCTCTGTGCTTGGGTGTAGATTCATTTACTGAATTATTGGAGCTACAAAAGACTTGAGGGCCTGCCTCCGAGGCACCACTGCCTGCAAGTGTATGTGCAGTGCCCTTTTTTATATGGGACATTAGTGCCCAAGAGTTTAGCTGAAGTCTTTTGTTCTATAGGTCCATATTGTAAGGTGGACCCTGACACAAGTGGACACTGGCTCTTGGCTTTATTACATGATAGTAGACACACTAAAGCAGCCATTCCCAACTTGGGTTCCTCCAGTGGTTGCTAGGGGTACTTTGAGCCATGGCTGCTCTTGCTGATGCCACTTGTACTTTGAGCTGATTTGGTGGTGCCACTTGGAAGAGCAAGCCGCATCACGACAGTCTTTTTAACTTTCTGTAAAGGGGGGCTTTCTGACCAGCACTATGAGGGTGGTATTCTTACCAGTGATGACCTATGCAAGGTGCATTTCTGCCCACTGAACGCCAATGAATGGTTTTCAGAAGGGGTTTCACTAGACCTATTTCAAGGGTTTCGTTGGGGTAAAAAAATGTTGTGAACGGCTGCTCTAAAGTGTCAGCATGTCTTTATTCTTGTTTGTGAATGTGTGTTTCTATCTCACAAACCCAATACCCAATCACACATCCTCAGCTGATTAGGTACCACCCGTGTCTCATGAAATTCCTCACATTCTTGGGCAACACCAAAGCAGATATTGACTCCTCTTTAAGGGTCAACTTTGCTTAGCAACTTGCTTTCGCAGAGCAGAGGCAGTCGTCCTTACCGAGAGGTTCAATCAGAAGTCAAACATGGCTCTGCTGTTTTCCCAGCATGGTCATTTGAGTCTAGCAGGGAAATATGAGACTGACTGTTTAATTGGGCTAATTGCTTAGGTTACACCGTCTAGATTTGGATGACCCTGCGACAGAAAAATCTGTTTTATGAACACGAAGTTAAAATACTTTGTGTGACAGGATTCTTTGTTGTCTCTGACAGGATTCTTTGTCTCTGAGATCCCATTACAGGACACCAGAGTTACCACAATAAATCTGACAGCATAGTATCTTCAGAAGGAGAATGTTGGGCCAAGTTTGGAGACACACTCAGTATGAGCCTAAGGTTCGATCTGATCTGAGTTTGGTCCGAACCCTGAAGAACCTATCACGTGATAGCAGGCTGCCATCCTAATCAGCTGCAGCCATGGAGTTCACCTCACAGTTGCATGCAACAAAGCATTGATCCAATATGGCAGTATTTGGTCAATGGAGCTGTCCAATTATGGCCATGTGGCCATATGAGGTCACCAATCTCAGCAGCATCCCTGCCCCTTTGTTATTTGTGGCTACAGGAAGGGGAACTCCGCAGCCGATTGAGACGGTGACCTGCTGTCATGTGACAGTTTCCTGTCTGGTTTGGTTTGACTTCAGTTCAGTCCGATCCTTCATTCAGGTCTCAAGAATATTACGTCTCATTTATAACAACCTGTGTCAAACTAGTAATGATATAGTGCAATTTTTGCTTTAAAGTAGAACTATAGGCAAAACTTTTATTTTCATTTTGGATAAAGTAAGGAAGGGTTATAACCCTGACAGTTTTTTTCTTTTTCCTCCTGTGTCTTGCTGGTAGATTTCCCCTCAACTCCTGCCCCATAGCCAAACAAGAAGTGAGAGGAAAGAGGAAAGCTATTTAATTTTTGGGGACAACCCAAAATGTGGGATTTTCTTTTGCTTTCACTTTCAATGATGATGGTAAAGAGGACAAATCGAGAGGGTGAATCTCCCAGACAGCATTAAAAACTGACAGTCATTCTAAACCCTCTCCACTCTATCCAAAACTAAAAAAAAGTTTTGCCTTTTAGTTTTTAATACTTTAATTTTACAATATGTCTGATTGTTAACTCCAAGCAATGTCTTCTGGTTTTCTTGAAATCAAATAAACAAGTTTTTTAAAGAGTGCATGCAGAAGGTTTCCCCCTTTTTGTTCTTAACCACTTCCCAACCGGCCGTTGCATATAAACGGCCGGACTGTGGCAGTGCAGGGTCGGGTGGCCGTTTATAAACGGCCTCCCCGCACCCTGCTTGTGCGCACTCCCTGGGAGCGCGCAGCACCGCGATCCAGTGCCCACTGTGTCCTCCGGACACAGTGAAACACCGATCGTCGGACGGGACCTCTACGAGGTCCCGATCATGTGATCACTGATTGGCCAATCAGTGATCACATGCAAAGTAGTAAGCAAGGTGTCACTTGTGACATCATTGCTTACTACGTGTGAAATCTGTGAATGATCACAGAGGTCACATGGTACAAGGCTATTCACAACAGGCTTGTACCATGTGACAAGCTGTGACCAATCACAGCTCACTCAGTACAGCAAGAATGCACACAGAGAGAAAGAGAAATGATTGCTTTTACATCTTATATGGGTGTAAAAGCAATGTGTAAAAAAAAAAAGAAAAAAAAATCTTCATCACCCCCCACAAGTAGTACAGTGTCACCATGGTGACACTGTACTTCTAGGGTGACAGTATGTATAAAAGATAATATAAAAATGTAAAAAAAAATGTTTAAAAATTATAATTTCTGATTATAAACTAATTTGGATTTTTTTTTTTACTAAAAAGATAACAGAATACATTTTGGCAAAGATTTATGATGAAATATTATTTATTTGCAAAATTTTATAAAAAGAACACTTTTTTTTCAAAATTTTTGGACATTTTCATTTACATGCAAAAAAAATAAAAATCCCAGCGGTGAATAAATACCACCAAAATAAAGCTTTATCTGTCTCAAAAAAATGGTAAAAAATTCATATGGGTACAGTGTTGCATGACCGCCCAATTGTCATTCAAAGTGTGATAGCTCTGAAAATTGCCCTGGACAGGAAGGGGGTAAAAGTGTCCGGACAGGAAGTGGTTAAAGAGAGCATGCAGGAGGTTTCCCCCTTTTTGTTCTTAAATTCTGCTTTGTAGTTTGTTTTGCTCTTGAGAATCCAATGTTTTATTGGTCTTCCTGAAGTACTTTCCCGTAGCTAACTGGCCTTTCAAATTCTTTTTATGATATAATATATTTAGTTTTTTCTCCTAAGCTTTTTGTGATTTTCTTAGTGGTTTTTATATTTAAATTTGATTTTGTTGCGGCACCGATTAAAACTAAACTCCCTGCATTGAGTGAGGTTCTAGACCTAAAGTATGGAATCTGAGCACAGTAATAAGTGAAATAGTAGGATAAAACAAAGAGTGAGCGCTACCTGTAAAAGAAAACAGCTGCTCGTACACCGAAAAGGCAACCAAATAAAACCTTCCTAAAAGTGTTCAATATAAAAGGTGCAACGCTAAGACATCATGCGTATAAAATCACATAAATCACATAAAGTGCAAATTAAAGTGCAAAAAATAAGGATGTCACCAAAAAGGTGAGCGTGGTGAATAAATGTCCCAAATAAAACAGCCCACGTGAAGATCTGGTACGATCTCAATATATGTGCGTGAGAATCTGGTCCAAGGTGGCAGATAAATCCAATTAGTAAATTTGCGCACTCACCAGAAGTGCGTAAAAAACACGCATTTGAGATATAGCCTGTCTCATCAGGTATCAATCAGGTCATCTGCTCCCAGGTCAGGTTCCTACACCTTCTGATCACATCTGAAAGGGTGCTCAGGGGTATTTGAAGTGTATCACCATCTGGGGTCACCTTTGAAGCAGGGTCTGCGAATGGCGGCACTCACAAGAGAGCCAAAAAAGGGATACCACATAGCGTGATACTGTATAGGGAACTTTATTCCGTAAAGGGTAGGTGTAAAACAATAATGACAAGGTAATTAAAATAGGAAAAACACTGACCGTATGTTAGTAGGATGGCCACCAGTGGTGGCTAGACAACCAGTTGCTGTAGCCCCTGATGCGTTTCGTGCTATGCACATACTCATTGGGTGCAGGGCTTACCTGCGCTGCACCTTTTATATTAAATAAGTGAAATAGTGTTGCCTGTGGGTTCCCTGCAGCTGTTTTTTTTTTTTGCCCATTACTAATTTAACACTCCATGTTTTGCACTGTTAGGCTGGCTTACCCGAGTAGAGTATTTCCATCTCCGTAATGAAAAAACAAATTCTCACTTTATATACCCAATCATGTACAGGTGCTTTTCACTTTATTGGACTATTAAAGTGAGTATATAAGCTATTTCTCAAGTGAAAACTTTCAACTTCCTTCATAAATCAGCCCATGTGTCTCTGTATAGTATAAGCAGCCATCTTGCTAGAGTAGCAGGACTTTGCTTCCTCATTTCAGAGCTCGGCTGGTTATATACTATTTGGTGGGGGGAAAACTGAAGCAGAATGGGTACAGAAAATACAAATCCACAGAATTAATGAAGCAGAATCTGCATCTCTCTGTAGGTTCTCAAGTATAGCTTTCACTCCAGCAAAGAGAACAACAGAAGCACAGTGAGCAAAAATTTTGCTACAAACTCCCTTGAGACTACACGTCGCAGTCAATACGGTACCTTAGAATCTCACACTGCATACGTACAGCTGTGAGTCTAAAGACATAGGAGGCAAAACACTATTGCTTTGGCACAATTACAGTTCAGGTTCCCTATAACATAGCAAATCTTCACTTTTTGAGTCCAGGTCAAGTTTAGGCTAGAATAATGCCACCTCCCAATCCTTTCAGTTTGCATTGACATCATATCTTGATCATGCAGTGCAGGATGCAGGCTGGATATTCATGTAGCCTGGATAATAGGCTGCAACCTGGCAAAGACTTGGGTGTGCCCCTATAAATCCACACTGTAGCTGATGTACCTCTCCTCCCTTATGGAGAAGTTGTCCCTGGTTTATAGGATAAGTTCACCCAGGGCTTTTCATCAGGGGAACAAAGTTCCTGCACCCCCCCCCCTGTACTGAATGCATGTAATAGCAAGGGGTGCTGGGGTGTCTTGGAAGGTCTATTTATGCTTGCTGATGGGGGATCACTGGGGGGAAATCTATTTTTGTGTGGCAGTCTATTGTTGCTGGGGGGATCTATTGTTGCTGGGGGGATCTATTGTTGCTGGGGGGATCTATTGTTGCTGGGGGGATCTATTGTTGCTGGGGGGATCTATTGTTGAGGGAAAGATCTCATGTCTCTGGCCTATGGAGAGTCTATTGATGCTGGCAGCTGGGAGATCTGCTGTTGCTGCTGGGGGGATCTGTTGCTGCTGGGGGGATCTGTTGATGCTGGGGGGAATCTGTTGATGCTGGGGGGAATCTGTTGATGCTGGGGGGAATCTGTTGATGCTGGGGGGAATCTGTTGATGCTGGGGGGAATCTGTTGATGCTGGGGGGATCTGTTGATGCTGGGGGGAATCTGTTGATGCTGGGGGGATCTCTTGTTGCTGGTTGTGGGAGAACTGTTTTACTGCTTTTCTTATCAAATCCCATACAAATTAGCACCACAAAATTAAACTTGGCTCTGCCCTCTCTAAAAGGAGCATTACTGGGCAGTGGGTTGGAGGTGGAAGCAAGAGACTGTGCTCAGAGTTGGATAGCAGGGATGGGACAAGAAGTGACTCAAAAGGGGAAGTTCCTGCACCTAGTCTCTGAGGGGGTGGGGGGGGGGGGGGGGGGGGGGGAGTCCTGAGTTAACCTTTCCACAAAAAAAAATAATAAATGCACATTTTTTTGCAGGTGGAAAAAAGTGTATCATTTTTTGTTAGGAGTCTGTAAAGCATTCCACCAGCAATCAGAAGACAGTGATTGTCCTGCTTCCACTATCCGCTATGGACCGTGTCAGGTCCTTGTGATAATGAGGCTTGCTTGAGATCAGGCAGACCTTGTCTTCTAAAAATCCAGTGATCTCCTAGCTCTCTAGTGAGCGGACAACACTGCCTAAAATCCCAAATGGTATTGGTAGTAGTGTCCAGATTTTCCCTGGTTGGCCACAGAGCATCTCCTCTCTCCTCATTTCTGTAGCTCGGCAGCCTTGGCAATGCTGTTTGTTTGGGTTGTGTTGTCAGCTCATTACAGGAAGTTCGGGGGCGTGCTGGAATTTACTGGGTTTACCTACTGACAAAGCATAGGAAACATGCTAGCCTTGGAGAGATGTACTGGAATTTTTATATTTTGACCAGAGATTTATTTCTAAGAAAACCTATACGGGTGTAAACAGGTCATCAATTAACTATTTTTGAAAATTCCGGTTGTCCTGCTGATCCAGTGGCTTTGTCACTAACCTGGACTAATTTTCAATATCAAGACAATTGCTGTAAAACTGGTAATGGTCAATGAATTGGAAATCAGTAAAGCTGTCTTGCCACACTGCATGCTCCTGATTCTGTAGATCCTGTAGTCTAGAGGTGCTCAAACTGTGGCCCGCGGAGTCCTCTGATGTGGCCCTCGACTTCAAAACAAGGAAGCACACTTCTATTATATCCTGCGAGTTTGGTGCACTTTCAGAAAGACCTCAAGTATACAGAAACCGATCCTCTCCAGTTTCTTCCTGCAACTGCTGAACGCCAGATTCTCCTCTCCCTTCCACCGGCATTCAGCGACTGCAGGAGGAAAATGTTCATTAAGTTATTCAAAATATAAAATTAAAAGTTTTCACCTATTTCATTCCATTGTGGCCCGCGACCAGTTACCAGATCACTTAAGTGGAGCTTGCTCTTCAAAAGGTTGAGCACCCCTGCTCTAGATTTGAGGTGCTTCTTCCTTCAAATAAGGCCTTAATATATCTTATTTAATTGGATTCCTAAAGGAGTGTGTTTTTCTTTTTTTTTGTTCAATTTATTTCATTTTTATTCAATTGAATCACCTAGATTTATTTAATCCCCTGTTCAGCCAGAAGACAGGAATAAATGAAATCTCGTGCGTATTGATAGTTCATTGGCTTGCTTCAACTTGGTGCTTCAACAGTGCTTGGGTAGCTACAGTCAGGTCCATAAATATTGGGACATGGACACAATTCTAACATTTTTGGCTCTATACACCACCACAATGGATTTGAAATGAAACGACCAAGATGTGCTTTAGGTGCAGACTGTCAGCTTTAATTTGAGGGTATTTACATCCAAATCAGGTGAACGGTGTAGGAATTACAAGAGTTTGCATACGTGCCTCCCACTTGTTAAGGGACCAAAAGTATTGGGACAATTGGCTTCTCAGCTGTTCCATGGCCAGGTGTGTGTTATTCCCTCATTATCCCAATTACAATGAGCAGATAAAAGGTCCAGAGTTCATTTCAAGTGTGCCATTTGCATTTGGAATCTGTTGCTGTCAACTCTCAAGATGAGATCCAAAGAGCTGTCACTATCAGTGAAGCAAGCCATCACTAGGCTGAAAAAAACAAAACAAACCCATCAGAGAGATAGCAAAAACATTTGGCGTGGCCAAAACAACTGTTTGGAACATTCTTAAAAAGAAGGAACGCACCGGTGAGCTCAGCAACACCAAAAGACCCGGAAGACCACGGAAAACAACTGTGGTGGATGACCGAAGAATTCTTTCCCTGGTGAAGAAAACACCCTTCACAACAGTTGGCCAGATCAGGAACACTCTCCAGGAGGTAGGTGTATGTGTGTCAAAGTCAACAATCAAGAGAAGACTTCACCAGAGTGAATACAGAGGGTCCACCACAAGATGTAAACCATTGGTGAGCCTCAAAAACAGGAAGGCCAGATTAGAGTTTGCCAAACGACATCTAAAAAAGCCTTCACAGTTCTGGAACAACATCCTATGGACAGATGAGACCGAGATCAACTTGTACCAGAGTGATGGGAAGAGAAGAGTATGGAGAAGGAAAGGAACTTCTCATGATCCTAAGCATACCACCTCATCAGTGAAGCATGGTGGTGGTAGTGTCATGGCGTGGGCATGTATGGCTGCCAATGGAACTGGTTCTCTTGTATTTGATGATGTGACTGCTGACAAAAGCAGCAGGATCAATTCTGAAGTGTTTCGGGCAATATTATCTGCTCATATTCAGCCAAATGCTTCAGAACTCATTGGACGCCACTTCACAGTGCAGATGGACAATGGTCCAAAGCAGACTGCAAAAGCAAACAAAGAGTTTAAGGGAAAGAAGTGGAATGTTATGCAATGGCCAAGTCAATCACCTGACCTGAATCCGATTGAGCATGCATTTCACTTGCTGAAGACAAAACTGAAGGAAAAAAATGCCCCAAGAACAAGCAGGAACTGAAGACAGTTGCAGTAGAGGCCTGGCAGAGCATCACCAGGGATGAAACCCACGTCTGGTGATGTCTATGCGTTCCAGACTTCAGGCTGTAATTGACTGTAAAGGATTTGCAACCAAGTATTAAAAAGTGAAAGTTTGATTTATGATTATTATTCTGTCCCATTACTATTGGTCCCTTAACAAGTGGGAGGCACATATGCAAACTGTTGTAATTCCTACACCGTTCACCTGATTTGGATGTAAATTCCCTCAAATTAAAGCTGACAGTCTGCAGTTAAAGCACATCTTGTTCGTTTCACTTCAAATCCACTGTGGTGGTGTATAGAGCCAAAAATGTTAGAATTGTGTCCATGTCCCAATATTTATAGACCTGACTGTACTAGTCGCATTACTTTCCATGCAGATGTGATGTAATCTCCAAGTAATTCCCTAGCTGAGATGGGCACACCTTCTGAATTAGAAACCATTAAGGTCATTTCCCAAGACTTCTGATAACAAATGGGTTTTTTTTTTTTTTTGTTTTTTTTTTCCGGTTTTGTTGCCTCTTTTTAGTTAGAGACACGCACTAAAAAAATAAGTGGAACTTGGCCGATACCGGTCTCTTCCAGGCCTTTGACTGGCAGACATTAATGCAGGCACACAATGCTGCCAAATCATGGTGGATGGCCACTGAATTTTATGTTGCATTTGTGTGCATGCGGACAACCCCTGTAGGAAATTGCCTCCTGGGATAACTGTGACATAGAAATCGCAGGAGATAGCAGGGCCCAGAAGTGCAGTCTTGCAGCAAAAAAACAGAAGCAAAATGGTGAAAAAATACAAAACTTTTTTTTGCTTTTGTGGAAGAGGGAAAAAGTAAAGTTAAGGTGAGTTTGTATAAATGTCTTCCACTTTAATTGTGAGCAGCAAGTTACAGTATGTGCAGTGTTACCCAAATTTACACACACAAACCCCCCCTCTTCCCCTCTGGATCAGGTCCCAGTACAATTATAAGAATCAGCTTTTACTATTACTACTCTAGGCACTTCCATCACCTGGATTGTAAAATTATCTGAGGACAGCTGGGGGGGAGTTCTATTGACACAGGCACTCCCCCAAAACTACATTTCCCAAGAGCCCATTTTCCTACACACAGTATGTGGGCAGGTTATTGGGACTCGAGGCTGCCGCATTGTTTTGATAGGAAAGGAATCCATGTGTGCATGTGCAGTGGGATGAGTAGGAACAGAGGTAAGTTGGAGTTCTGTGGTGTTGTAGGAAGGGCTGACAACACTGTGCCTCTGATGCTATGAAATAGCAAGCAGTGTTGTCAGCCCTTCCTACAAGACCAACAGAACTGACAACACTGCTTGCTATTTCATAGCATCAGAGGCACAGTGTTGTCAGCCCTTCCTACAAGACCACAGAACTGACAACACTGCTTGCTATTTCATAGCATCAGGGGCACAGTGTTGTCAGCCCTTCCTACAAGACCACAGAACTGACAACAACACTGCTTGCTATTTCATAGCATCAGAGGCACGGTGTTGTCAGGCCTTCCTACAAGACCACAGAACTGACAACACTGCTTGCTATTTCATAGCATCAGAGGCACAGTGTTGTCAGCCCTTCCTACAAGACCACAGAACTGACAACACTGCTTGCTATTTCATAGCATCAGAGGCACAGTGTTGTCAGCCCTTCCTACAAGACCAAGAACTGACAACACTGCTTGCTGGATTTCTGTGTTGCAGCCCAATTATCTTGCTGGATTTCTGGCAGATTATCTGTTTTTTAACAGTACTTTTTCTGCTCTTGCGGTATTTAAGAAAAAATAAACATAGGGATATGAGCAAATTATTACAGATATGTAGTGTTTACTTTTTTTATTATTATTTTGCGTTGGCATACACTATAAGATAGACTGGCCCTTTTAACTTGAATATTTGGAGAAAACCAACCTTGGGATGTATTGAGCTTTTGTGTGGTATGAGACTCTCGGATGTGTTCGCGTACAATTCTGTACGTCCCATACAATCGGTGACATACAGTGAAGGAAATAAGTATTTGATCCCCAGTATGAAGTCATGTTTTGTGAAGGGGATCAAATACTTATTTCCCTCATGAACATGCAAATCAGTCATCATTTGTTAGACATGCATTTCTTTTGAATTTTTTGTTGCTATTCTGTCTCATTGTTACAATACACCTACCTTTCGATTTTTAGACTGATCATTTCTTTGTGAGTGGGCAAACATTCAAAATCAGCAGGGGATCAAATACTTATTTCCTTCACTGTAACTTGTGTTCTGTACAAGCATTGCATTGTTTTCTAGAATGTGACCTTTCCCAGCAGCCAAGTCTTGGATTGCCTCTTTTCATACAAGTCTTTTTAAAATGTTTGTGGAATAACAGAAATCACTTGCAGGAGATGCCGCCAGTAGGTCTCCCTTAATGGATTGAGGTGCTACAACTTTTTTTTTTTTTTTTTTGGGTTGCCGGTGGTTGGTTGGTTCTGCTCTGTGCTTGCTTTGGAAATATACATTTATAAATGCTGGTGAGGACAGACTTTGAGTACTTGCAGACATTTTTATTGGTGTTAGCCTGTTGCTTTGGATCAATCACACACACTTTGCCAATCTGCATGGCCATTAGTTTATGAAATGCTGAATGCTTTCATGTTTGATGATGATGTATAAAAACTGATCTGTTATTTTTTTTTTGTTACCACAGGCACCGCCAATCATGGCCTATCCAGCCACAACGCCTACAGGAATAGCTGCATTTGGAATGGTAGGATGAGATTTATTGCAAACATTTTGTTTCATAATGCAGTGCTATCCTTTCATTTTACATTAAAGTGTTACTAGACCCACAACAGTAAAATCAGTCTATAGATGCAGCAAACCATGCTCGTCATACTCCCTTTGGAACCTGAGGGGTTAATCCTCTGCATTGTGTAAAAAGGATGTTTCATCCTGACTTCTCTGCCCCCTTTTTCCAGTGTCCCCCTCTTATTTAGTGTGCAGTCACTCTGCACATGCTCAGTTTGGTGTGTATTGCTAGATCTATATATGTCAGGAATTTACATGCACGTTCGGCTAATATACAACATCTTCAATGAAAGGAGATCAAATATTAAATCATCATTAAGAATAAGTTAGTTAGAGATAGATAATATATGTAGGAAAAAAGAATTGTCTGCGTGTTTTTAATCCCTTTTTTTTTTTTTTATCTCAGCCTCCTCAGATGGGATCTGTGCCAGTAATACCACAGCAAGCATTAATATACAACCAACCTGTAATGAGACCACCTAATCCTTTTGGCCCTGTATCAGGAGCACAGGTAAAGCAAACCATCTTACATGTGTGTACCTGCCAGCGACGTGCACATTCAGCCATCGGCTCACTTATACCAAGTGACGTGTTAAGCGCCAAGCTTCGTAGTGGCAACAGTCACACGATGTAGTCTGTAAAATGGCTCCAGGCGACTGAAAGAGTGTCTGAAAAATGAAACATTTATCCAGTCTTGCTTTGAAGAATGGAAGTAAATAAAAATATCAAGCCATTGAAGGCATTTAGGATGATTGTGTTGTATTTATGTGTATATTCTGTGTATATTTTCTCCTTTGACATGACAGTAGCTTGGAAAAATGTTTCTATCCTTCAACTTTGTGTAAAGGATAATGATCGAAACCCATAACATTGTCTGAGTATGTGACCGGTAAGGAAACGCGCTGATAGGACTGCTAGGGATACTGAAAATCACTGTAGTAAGCCACGCTACATACAAAGAGATCCGTGCTGTTCCTGTGACTTCCCCTCTGCACACTGAACATTGGGATTGCCCTCTTGGCTCTGCCGCCATTCTGAGAATGTCTTGTATTTTTTTTTTTCCAGTAAGTAGTCCTCTAGACCAGGGTTTCTCTACCTTTTTTCGGTCAAGACACCCTTTAAAATTATGGATAGTCCTGAGGCACCCTTTAAAAATGATGGACAGTCCTGAGGCACCCTATACAATTATGGACAGTCCTGAGGCACCCTTTACAATATGGACAGTCCTGAGGCACCCTTTACAATTATGGACAGTCCTGAGGCACCCTTTACAATTATGGACAGTCCTGAGGCACCCTTTACAATTATGGACAGTCCTGAGGCACCCTTTACAATTATGGACAGTCCTGAGGCACCCTTTACAATTATGGACAGTCCTGAGGCACCCTTTTACAATTATGGACAGTCCGGAGGCACCCTTTACAATTATGGACAGTCCTGAGGCACCCTTTACAATTATGGACAGTCTTGAGACACCCCATTCTAAAATGTGAAAAAACTACTCTAATAGTTTTGTATAACACAGCAACATCCACACATGTAGGACTCCCAACATTAGAGGTGATTTATTCTTCCAAAGAAAATACACTTTTACTCACTGGTACTGACTAGTATTCCAGTGTTTCTTTTTCTCCATCTCTGAGCTAATGTGGGTCACATTAGCTCAGAGATGGAGAAAAGAAACCCTGAATGAAAGGGGCAGGGAAGGATCAAAATAGGATGCTGTGCAAGCAACTGACATCCTCCTTATCACCTGATGATGTCATTGGTTGTCAGGACGCTGGCGGCTAGAAGGCTGGTGCACAATGAAAACCTGTGGCTTTGTGTAACTAAAAGGCAGGCTTGTTCCACCGCTGGCTTGTATACAAGTTTTGGGCAATTTTTAGACCTTTTGCCAAGACACCCCTGAAGAAACCTCAAGGCACCCCAGGGTGCCTGGGCACCCTGGTTGAGAAAGGCTGCTCTGGACAATGTGGAAATTGTGACATCATTGCGCCTCTTCTCTGCTACATATTTATAATTTATTATGATAAATGAATGAGAGATGCAGTATCATTTTCTGCTTCCTAGATTACTTTGCAGTCCATGAACATTTGAAGTACCTAAGGATATCTAAAGCCAAGAACAAAATGTATTTTCCGGTTACCAGTTCTGTAGATGGTGGTGGCTGCATTAGTTTTTTTTTTCAGGCTAAAAACATTTTCTGCAAATACTGGAAATGCCTGTTGATCTTGTTATAGAAATACAGTGTCAGTCGCCTCCTGTGAATTGAACAGAAAGCTGACACAATCTTGTCTTCCTTCAAAGCTATTGTGTAGTCACAGACCAGGAAAGCTGTTTGGGTGACAACCATGGCTTCCTCCTTATATACACTGAGCAAAGCCACCATATGTTATTTGCAGGCCAACAGGTAAACATAGAGGGGGGAAAAAGCCTGAAAAAAAAAAATGAAGACTGCAGCCACAGTAGCGAAAGACTGGTAAGCTGAAGTATTTTACATTTTTGTGTTTGGGTTTAGATACTGTATGCTTCAATCCCAATTTGGCAAATGTTGCATTAGAGTACGTGCGAGAACAGACGCATGGCTGCTTCTTTTGCTTGGTTTTCATAGGTACGGGCTCTGGGAGAGGAAATTCAGTTAAGACGTTAGTCCCAAAGTCTGGGGTGATGCAAAACCGGTGAATCACGAAGGCCAGCCCTGTCTGAACAGAGGTCCCTTGATAAAAAAACAATGCTTTCCAATTGTAAAAGGTGATTTGGTTACAAAGCGAGTATCTATTGTAAAATGGATAATTAGAGTTTGTTCTTTCTTTGGAAGGGAATAGCAGGTGAAGCACAAATTTGCAGCTTTATGGAGCTTAGACCGGTCACAAATTCACTGTGCTGTGCCCTTCCTTGTGACATGTTTATTGGCAGTGCAGCTAGTATTGGCACAGATAATGAAAAATATCCAATATATTATGGTAGAGTGCATTCTTACCTGGGTCAGGGCCTGCCCATACTGAGATGGCAGAGGGGTTGTACACAGGAACAACATTTTCCATCCCATTACATTTTGTTGTCATTGCAAGACCATTAAGCACTATGAAACGGTCTTCATGGGTAAGGATTGTGAAATACTGATCAGGGTAAGGTCTTTGGTTGTTTGAGACATTATTTAGCAGGTTATGCCTAGTTATTTCAATAGGGAAAGGGTGACTTGCTGGAAAGCGAATGGGTAGAGTAGCTCAAGCTGATGAGGTTTGGAGCTGTTGTGGGTTTTGAAGGGTCGAGTGGAGGCGACTATGTATGGCGGTCGATCAGAAGTTTCTGTCTTGGGTAAGTAGAGGTTTTGCAGACGCTGGGCCAAAAAAGGCAGGGTGAGCGGCAGCCACGTAATGTTATGCAGGCCATAGACGGGGAGAAAAACGGATGGTTTTTTTTCCCCCCAGAAAAAACGAAAAATCGGTCGTTCAATCAGCCGACGTTACCACCATTGGTAAAAAAAAAGTCGGCTGATTTTCGTCCCGTTTACGGCCGGCAGTTAATAAAATAGCGGTGTCCCTGCAGACAGCTCCGCCATATTTGACATTTAAAATAAGAAATAGAATATGAATAATAAAAAGTTTCAACATTGTATCTATTTGTATCCATTTTAGATACAGATGTTTCTATTTGGATACAAATAGATACAATGTTGCAACCCTTATACTTTTAAATGTCAAATATCATAGCGGAGCTCTCTGCAGGGACACCGCTAATAGATTTGACATTTCTAAGTATTGCGGTTGCAAACATTGTATCTATTTGTATGGAAACAAATAGATACAGATGTTCTTTTTCTTTGGTCACGGCTCATGCACATTTTTTTAATCGGGAATAAAAGATCGTCCGATTTGCCCATCATTGCCGTGATGGGCAAAATCGACCGTTTTTTTTCTCAACATGAACGATTAAAAAAATGTGTCAAAATCAAGAAAACCGCCCGACCAATTCAGCCACCAACGATCCGAAAATCGACCGATTATTTTTTTGAAGGAATTTTCGGCCGGTTTTCTTCCCGTCTATGGCCTGCATTAGTCTGTGAACTGTGAGTGAGTCGATGAGAAGCAGAACATCTAAGCCTGGTACTCACGGGCTGACTATCATCCGGTATTGGCGGTTCAACAGAAACCGGCCTGTGTGTACAGCAGCCTGTCCTACAGAAGCTGGCCGAACGTCCGACTTCTGTCGAAGGGGCATGCTGGAAAACATCTGCCGATGGTTGCGAGTGCCCGAAGGTGTGTTCTGGCAAGTAGGGGGAGGAGAATTAGTCCCCAGGGGTGGACTGACTATTTGGTAACTCGGGCACTGCCCGAGGGCCCGGGGTCAGTAGGGGGCCCCATGAGATGCCCCTGGTACCTTTTTCATAGGCGTTTTTGAGTTTGGGCAAGGACACAGGGGCCCCATGATCCCTTATTGCCCGGGGGCCCCATGAGTTGTCAGTCCGCCCCTGTTAGTCCCTCTTTCAACTTCTGTCGAAGGGGCATGCTGGAAAACACGGGGAGGGGAATTAGTCCCTCTTTTAGAACACAATAGTTCAACAGGAATAAAAGTGGGAAATCCTCCTGCGCTCCACAGATACAAAGAATTTATATTACCAGTGCCAGCTGCTATCACCCTCTTCCCTATACCATAGAAATACATCCAATACAATCACTGATTTATTCCACAAGATCAGTTGTTTGGCATATCAGATAACTGTTAAGTGTTTGCACATTATCACAAGTGTGGTTTATTTACACTGCATCACTGTGAAATTATATTTATTATCTGCATTTTGATTCATATTGCACTTGTCTATAGCATTTAATTTTTTATATATTTTTTACGGTTTATATTTGATATATGGGTACTTAGTTTTGTGGCACATTATTTATATGATTGTACACAAATTCATATAGTGTGTTTTTAATTTTATTTTTCATCTATTGCACTTTATAATCATATTTATTATTTAGCATAGTGCTTCACCATTTTTGTTGTAATAGTCCAACAGGGAGATCGATGTACTAGCATTGCATAGTTTGTAGAGACCATTTATCTTATTTATTTCAGGTATTTATATAGCGCCGTCAATTTACGCAGCGCTTTACACATACACACACATATATATATATATATATATATATATATATATTATATAGTACAGTACATTCACATCGGTCCCTAGCCCTCAAGGGGTGTACATTCTAAGGTCCCTAACTCACATTCATACATACACATACAAAGGACTATTTAGACAGGAGCCAATTCACCTACCAGCATGTCTTTGGAGTGTGGTGAGGAAACCGGATCACCCGGAGGAAATCCACGCAGGCACAGGGAGAACATGCAAACTCCAGGCAGGGGGTGCCGGGGTTGGGATTCGAACCAACGACCCTAGTATTGCCAGGCGGAAGTGCTAACCATTTATCCACTGTTTTGCCCAACGCTTTTTTTTTTTTTCATTTTATTTCAGGTACTTATATAGCGCCGTCAATTTACGCAGCGCTTTACATATATATTGTACATTCACATCAGTCCCTAACCCTCAAGGGGCGTACAATCTAAGGTCCCTAACTCACATTCATACATACACATACTAGGGACAATTTAGACAGGAGCCAATTCACC